TTATTACTCATAAGACATTGGATGATTTCACCACCAGTAGCCTCTCATTTATCTTCACAACAACTTTATGGTACATGAAAACTATTTTGAAAAATCCTATTAAGCCTCAGTTGAGGCACAATGGCAACAGCATTTAACAGGAGTCACCCAGCAAGTGGAACAAACCCAAAGCCCAATGACCATGTTCATTTTAGAATACCATATGGCATAAAGCTTTTGATGTCAGGGTACAGAATCCACAAAGGTACAACAACAGACATCATTCTGCAAGAGAAAGGCCTATCTACTATATACTCACTCATATGAAACTGATAGGGACTTCTTAAGATGGGTTAGAAAAAAAAAATGAACAATGAAAAAATACTCTAGTAGCAGTAGAGAATATGAAGGTAGTTCTTAGACACAGGTTTGAAAGGCAGGAAAACAATTAGGAATCTACTATATTAGCTCATTTGATTAGAATCCATCTAAGAGGACAAGAGGAAGACTAAAGAAAGTAGAGTAACTCATAGGATGATCTGATATCAGGCTTATCTAATTGGTTGGGTTGCAATAGCTAACTGTCTCAAAGTGATTTGTGATTGGCACATCTCAATGGCTCTCCATGGGAATGTCCTCTTTTCCTTTTTCCCAGATTCAGGGTTCATACCTAATTATGTTAAGGTCTAATGGACAGCATTTTCCTTAATTTAGGTTTTGCTCATTGAGCAAACATTGATGGGGTAGTTAACACAATGCAGACAACCACACCACCATAAGAATGCATTATGGGCCAGGCACGACACACAGGATATGAGCTTGGTTGTTCACTTGCTACTTCAGATTAAGATTCTGAAGTTCACACTACTACCTGACCCAAATATTGAGTCTAGAGTTGTCTGCCTTCTAAACTTTTCCTCTAGCCAACTTCTTGCCGTTTCTTGTTCATTTATAACTCATAAAATAAAATAGAAGAACACCCAAAAAATGCTTAAGTCAAGAAAGTCAAATGCAAGAAGCAACTAGAAAAATAGAATTTGAATATGAACATACTTGGGCTGCAGTTCTGCAGAGCACCTGCCTTCTATTGGAGATAGTGCGGATACAAGTCATAAGGAAACAGATTTGCTTTGACAGTTTTTGTTGGTTAGTTGGTTGTTTTAGAGGAATTCCTGGAGGTGCCTCTTAAAAATATGAGAGGGACCGAATGGTAAAGAATGGCTGACAAGAGTGCTGTGGTACAGGAGAGAGATATGATGAAAAATAGTTATTTTGTTGGCCGTGATGGCCTGCAGGCTAGAGACAATGAGGCAATGGGATGAGGTTACTGCCTTGAATCACTAGGAGAAACAATGCATGAGACACATTTATACATGGCTGAGTGGCTTCAGCAGACAGTTCAGACTAATATTTAGTACTGGATTGCAAAATGGAATCCCATCTAGATTATGGGTCACAACGTATTTAATTTCAGTACAGATTACACAATGTGCTTTGCAAAATTTCTCACCCAGCAGGACCTCTGTTTCTTGTCTCTGGGTCTGTTTCCCTCTATCTGCCTTTGATGCTAACATACTTAACTTTTTCCAGTAAAGTGTTAATAATTAACCAAGTTGCATCAGGAACTTGCCAGATTCAGCATCTCTTCTTTCTTCCTGGTCCCCACCTTCTGTCTCTGCATTTCTCACTGCTGCATCTCCAGGGACATACTCCTTCCTCTCCTGTACTGTATCTCTTCCTTCCTAGGGGTCTTGCTGACTCTGCCTTTCTCTGCTTTTCCCTCTCCTTTTTAAATTAACTTTATTCTCCATTGCCCTTGTTTAAATAATAGAAACCAATGGCCAGTTTTTTAAGCCTCTCCTAACCCTTTGAACTGGGAAATAACAGTATATACTATTCAGAGTAGTATAGAATAATCAGAATGTAAATACTGTTGTATAGAATTATGTCTGAGGGTGAGATGTCTTAGTCAGTAAAGAACTTGCTGTGTGAGCATAAGTACCCTGGTTCAGATCCCTAGCACACATTAAAAAGCCGTATGTAACAACATGTACCTGCAATTCCAGCACCTAGGAGGCAGAGAGGGGAGGATTCCTAAATCTGGTTGGCCAGACAGCTAATGAACTAACTTGACATTCAGTGAGAGACCCTGTCTCCAAAAGTAAAGTGCATAGTTACTAAGAAAGACAGTCAATATTACTCTGTTCTTTATCTGCTTGTGTATCCAGATACACATGAGGACACACATATGCATCAACACACACACACACACACACACACACACACACACACATATATATATATAGAGAGAGTGACAGGGACACAGAGACAAAGAGAGACAGAGAGACAGAGACAGAGAGAGGAGAGAACATAATTATTTCTGGATAAAGAAAGTTTCAACACGGAGATGACCAGACAAGTAACTTTCTAGTGTCCTCTCAGGGTTTGGGATAGTAGGTCTTAGACTTCCACAGTGACTTTCAGAATCCCTTTCAAGTTAAGATACAGATTGCTGATGCCACCCCCCCCCATGCCATTGCACTTTCTAATGCAGTGGGTATAGGATGCGCCTAAGAAGTTGTGGTCTACTGAGTCCCCAGGTGATGACAAAGGCACTAGTCAAGGGCCACACAGAACCACTAAACTGTCTGTTTATCAAAGGGTCTGAGTTTGGCAGTGCATGACAGTGGTGGGTGAGTTGAAGCAACAAGGGAGAAGAGAGCTTTGCTTCTTAGGTAGCTGTATTCTCCTTGAGAATGCAGCTACTTAAGAAGCTTTGGCTAATAGGTCAATCTAGAGGAAATGCTAGGCTACAGGACCAGGGAAGGACAAGCATGAAAAGCTCTGTATTGTAACCTTCTGGAAATCCCTGAAGCCAGCCCCAAGCCCTGACATCCACCCTAGTACTTGTGATGATGCATAGGAACAGCAGAAGGGAACTCTCAGGATCTGTTTGATCTCTGTCCAGCTCCCTAAGCCCTCTGTCTGTTTATCTCCCTCTTTCCCTGGCCTCCTCTCTCCGCATCACCCCCTGCCCAGTGGATGATTCACTGCCTCCCCTTGCTTCCCTACCCCACTCCACCCCACCGCCATCTGTTTTTCTAATGATGGCAGAAGATGAGCTGTTCTGTTGGCCCCGCACCATAACACAGCACACTCCACGCTAGCATTAGCCCTCATGTATCCTCAGAATGCTGTTTTATGGGTATCTTTTCCCAACCACTTTTCACTTTTCTCTTAAACCCCACCCTTTCCCTTTTTCTGCTTTAATGTCGACCCCAGTTTCCCAGAACTAGATCAAGAGACTCTGAGATACAGAATAGAAAATTAACACTCATGCCTAGATGCAGGTTGGGTGTGTTTGAAGAAATTGTTGGAAATCAATGGCAGTTAAAGGCGCTCTCTTTAGCACACTCCAAGGAGCCAAAAATATCTGGGCAGTGCTGCAAAGTGGCTTATTAACTTCCAAAGAAAGGTCTGGATGAATAAATCTGCAGTGACTTGTGGAGAGTGGAGAAAGCCCTGAGTGAGTGAAGTTCTGAGTGAATGTGTTCTGTTGGCATGGCCATGGCCACTAAGCGGGATGACAAAGCCTTCAGAGAGGACAAAGTATGAGTGTTGACCATGTGTAGGAAATGTTCACCCTCATTTTTTCTTCCTTGGTATCTATGCCCCCCTGCAGGCTGCTTCCTACAGGAACTGGTCCCACTAAGATTAGCTAACCCTGTCTCCTTGATCTGGCTGTGTACCATAAACTCAGCCTCCATGTTCACTTGCAATAACCCTGCCTCTTTGTTGAAATCTCTATAATAAACACATTGAGATTCTCGGTGTGCTGCAGTTTCTCCATCAGAGATGCCATTTTATTTTTTGTGCATCCATGTATCTTTCTGTCTGTCTCTGTTGTGTGTTTATCTTCTCTTTATCCTTTCTTCACCTTAGTAAGGACCTTCCCTGAATCCAGCCATGCTAGACAGGGCAGTGCCTGAGCTAGAATATTTGTGTTTGTCATCGACTATTCCTAGGATTGGAGGACTTACGTAAATGGACTATGTATGTGTGTCCTCCTTCTCAGTATCAGAGGGTTCTTAGGTCATTCTCTCTAGGAAATGCTCTGATTCATTCTAGACTTTTCTTTGTTAGGTTAAAGAAGTTACTGCACCAGAAGTGACCACTGACAGGGGAATTCACTGTGGAAGATGGGGTTTCTTAATATAATAAAGATCTAGGTGATACCACACAATGGTGAAATATAGTTCTACCTAGACGATGCTTTCTGTTGATGCAAAGGAGGGGAGCCTCAGAAAAGTGATCACAGGAAGAAGTGAACCACATGTCTGGGATTATCCATGTTATTCAAGTCTAGCTAATTGTGGCCACAACCTCCAGATATTCCTGTTTTGTGAGGGGAAATAAAAGCTTTGCACAAAGATTTTTGTATTTATCTTAATTTTAATATGTATGTGTGTGATATTATATAAGTACATATAAATCTAAATTTTAAACTAAGCCTGGTGGCTCCTACCTACAAATGACTGTGATATTCAGGAACCAAGGCAGAAAGATTACCACAAGGTTTAGTTTGGTCCATAGCAGCTGCAGTACAACACCTTCTTCATAAATGCATACACACATATGCACATACAATTTTAATTTTAAATACACACATACATGCACACAAACACACACACACACACACACACCAAAGTTGGTTTTAGACACTGTACTGGCTGAACAAAGTTGTCTATAGTAAAATCCTTATTTAACTAATTCCAACCAAGGCCTAGTTACAGAATCCCAAAGCCATAAATAATTCTGGCTTGTCTTTTAAGTGACTGAGGATTTTACCAAAATAAAACTGAATTCAGAAATTCTGACTTTTGTAAATTTGGGGTTGGGAGGCAGCTCCATTTAAGAAGCTAACTGAAGGAAAAGGGATCAGGAGAAACAGTGCCTTTAATTGGAGGGACTCACATTGTTCACTGCTCTCCACATGGCTTGTGGAAGTCAAACCCACATACCTCACATGACTGGATGCAGTGAACCAGGGAAGGATCTGGGTGCCACTGACGCCGGCCGGTACACACGATGCTCTAAAACAGAAATACAAGAAACAGACATTAGGTCTATGGGAGAAATGGTTAATTCCATGTTTGCCCCAACCAGCCAACTCCGGTGCTTCGAAGGCAAGAGTCTTTCTGTGTGCCTGGCAAGCACCTGGTCTTTCCTTTGGGAGCCACTAACCCTGCTGGGTCATGGTGTGAAGGCAGAAACTCTCAAAGTGGGAACTTTGTGCCACCTTCATCTTCTTCTTTCCCTAGAGTGCTGTCAGTATCATTTGAAAAGGCAATCACACATAATGAGTGTGATCTGTTCTTAGGAAGAATACTGACTTTTAAAGTAATTTCAAAGAAATTATTACATGGTTGTGTCAGAAGAGCCATACCTTAAGAAAATTGCTTTTGAGAGAGAGTCTGATACCACAGTCAAGACTAATCTGAAACATACTATGCAGCACAGATTGGCCTTAAACTTACCACAGTAACCTGGTCTTGGCCTCCAAAGAACTGGGTTATGTGAACTACCATATACCTAACGTGTACCATGGGTTTTTAAGGCCAACACATATAGTTGTAGGAGATGTCTTTAAATATAACTTGTCATAATGAAAAGATCAGGAAAATAAGGTTCCTAAGTCTCTCTGTGGACTAATTAGTGAATTAAAGTTTTATTGTGATATTAAAGGATCCTCAACTGAATCTTCAATTCAAATTTTTAAGGTTCAATTTAACAGGGATAAAACTGTAAAATACTAATCTCAAGCTACTAACTTGTTATAAACTGGTAAAAATAATTATGGCATGCCAGTCAATGATTAAATTATAAATGATCAAATTCTTTAATATGCTCAGAACCATGCTTATAGTCATGCTAAGCATAAATGTAACTTTTTACAGGGACAAGTTTTATCTTTCTGTATATGTTGTCAAGCCTGAACCAAGTAGTTAACAACATGCAAAGTTTGTTTAAAATCAGATATTCTGCCTGAACTTGCTATGAGTGTCATAACATTGATCAATGCCACCAGCACCCTACCCAGACTGGACACTGTTGGGCTGACTGTCCTACTCTGTCTCCTCAAGGTAGGCCAGAACCCCAAGTTTCTCCACCACAGAAAAACCTCTGAGAGCTGGCAGCTGATGGCTGATGCTAAGACTAATGACCTCTGCCCGCAACAAATCCACTGAGACCATCATGGAGGATTCCAGGCTGGCTGTCCAAGTAACAGGTAAGTCTCTGTCATTTTAATAGATACAGAAGATACTGGTCTATAATTCCTAATCTAATAGATACTGGCCTATAATCCTACTCAGATTTTTTCTTTTCAGACATTGATAGGGAGTCTCACCTTGTACATAGATTAACAGTCTAGCAGTTCTGCCTACACCCCTACCCAAGGCTACACTTCCCAGTCAACTCCTTTATGGCTAGAAAGTTTGCTTTCACCTTCAAAACAGTATGGCTTTATAGTACTTTGAATGCAAAGGATGAACACTTTGCTTGCTGATTATAGAAATTTTAAAACTTTTTCAACAGCTTAAATGATCTGAGCCTCTTAAATAAAAAGACACAATTACCTGCCAGCCTGAATTGGTTTCATATGCAAAAGCCTGGCCCTGTTTTTCACAGAGCTAATAGGTCCCCTACTGAAATGTAAACTCAACAGAACCTACTGGTATACTCACACAAAGGTTTCCCCTTTTCCTAGAGTTGGTAGGTCCCTGACAGAAAAAAGACACTCACAGACAAGTTTCAATAAAAGTGTACTCAAGCCATTATGCTACTGTTCCTAAAACACTGCTTTTTACTATTCCTTTATTTTAAAGAACTTGCTTTTCAACAACTGCTCTTAATAATCAACCACCTATGTTTCATGGTGAATGATACGATGTTTCCAGATAAAAGGAAATTAAAACTTTAAGGTTTATGGCCATTGTGAAGGTTTAAGGAAGTGATTTACGGTGTATAAATGCAAGTTGTGCAGGTCTGAGGGAGTGATGGATGGTATGTGAAAAAATGAGAATTAAAGATGAGACCTATGATGTTAAGGCTTCAAAAATTTGGTGTTTAACACTAATAAATGGAGTTCTGATAAGCTATTAATCTAGCCTTGGTAAAGCAATGGCTACTATTATTGTCACAGGCTCAAAATTGTAAATTTCCTTTGATAGTTTTCTAAATATAGTCTTAAAAGTGCTTCTCATTGTGCTAGAAATAGCTCTGTTAAAAATGTGTGTGGTGTGTGTCCAGTCCTCTTGACAGAGGAAAGAGTGCACCTGCTTTTACCCCTGAACCATTTTTTTTTTTTTCTTTTCCTTTTATTTTATTTATTTATTTATTTATTTTTTTTTTTTTTTGGATCCTCAATCTCTTCTTCCCTTTTGTTCTCTTTCCTGCCAGGAAACTTCTGTCCTGTTACAAATGAATGGCTACACTTCTGTCATGTGATACCATGCTTTATTTTGTTGTAGCTCAAAGGCTTTAGTCTACTCCAGCTGTTTGCCTACACTTCTTAACTACTTTTCTACAATGAGGATTTCAGTGCAGGTTACTGACAAGGATCATGCTAATGCCTTCTGTCCCTAGTCTACATCTATCCCAGCAGATTGACTCATCTGACAGATACCATCCAGGAATCAGCTGTGGCCCTGCAAACTGGGCTCACCTCACTAGCCCCAGGTAGTCCTGCAAAACCAGCAAGCCCTGGCTTTGCTGAAAGCTGGTGTCAATCAGTTCAGCCAAGGTGGCTGATCTCTGTCTCTTCAAGTTAGGTCAGCAAGACCGATGCTTCTGAAGAACTTTCCACAAGCCCCCTGCCATTGCCTGACTCCCTTCCCACTCCCAGCCTTCCTGGGCCACTAAGGTGTCCCTCCTCGCCCCCAGCTGTGAAGCAGCTATAGAAGATACCAGTAGCAGGTTATCATCAACAAAAGGCTGGGATGTTCGGTCTCAGGCAGTACACAAACCCGAAATAGCTCAAGCTGAACTATAGAAGGGTTTCTGGAGGTTAGATAAAGCTGGGGTTCCTCAGGAACTTGTCATGAATTCCTGTATATCAAAATGAGTCATTTCTCTGCCTCTGGCAAAAGGGGACATATGGTTCTCTTTTGTAAAGCAGAAGGCACCACGTTTATTCCTTCTCACAGTATCCCCTCTGGTCACTCACTCAGTTCAGACTGAATGTGTGAAAACCTCACTTACTGCAAACCACATTCCCCAGTGACCAAGACACTCTGTTTCTTTGCAGACTTAGTGCTGCTTCAAAAATTGTCATCATTTCCCTACCTAAGGGATGCTCAGCCTTAACAAACACTTGAAGCCCTGATTTTGCCAGAATATTCTGAACAGACTGGATCACCTTCACTTATACCCTTTCCCAGATTTTACAAATACAGGAATTTTAGACTTCTAACATCCCCAAATTTCTACAATACATTATAAAAGAAAAAAAGATAAAGGAATAGAATTTATTTTTATTTTCAAGCCTGTTCTTCCAAAGCCCATTTCTTTTATATTTTTTGATAGTTTTGTATTTTCATGTAATTTAATTTCACTCTAAGGTGATTTCATATTGGCAGATATGGAAGACACGAAAGGATACAGACCCTTTCTTTTGTTTCTCCAATTGTCCCCATTCTTTGTTCCTATTTCTAGCTCTTTTTTTTCAACAGGTATAATCTGCATATACATGCACACTCATGTGTATGTGTGTGTTATTTCCTCACAGTGTTTGTAGAATTTTATAATCTTTACTTTGTATTATAGTTGTTGTTAGTACTGTTTGGCAAATGGTCTGAACTACAGTCTGTTTCTTTTCTGATTTCTGGGATGTTACATTCTCTTGTTCCATGTACTAACAGAAACAAAGTTAACCCTTTAAGCCCGACAATTCCAACGACAAGGTAACTTTCTAGAATGCAGTTGCAATTATTGGAGAATAACCAGCCACATGTTCACTCCCTTAGACAAGTTTGTTTGAATCAACGGATGTGCTTGATCGCATATAGGTAGGAGGTACATAGGCAAGAAATACTTCAGGATGTATATTTGCCCCTGATTGAACATTATGAGAAATGCAATGAGCTATGGGTTTTGCCTTTTTAAAGCCCCACAAAATGTGAGCCAGGGCCATTCGGAAATCCCAGAATGGCCTGACCTGACCTCGGAGTTCACCCTGGTAGGTATTTAATTAAAGCTTGCTTCAAATGTAGCTCAAAATTGTGGAACTAGTCTTTCTGTCATGAATCTCAGGTTAAACAAGTACTCCGTTGCCTGAGTGCACATTTAACTTATTTAACCTAATCCATATGGTTAGCCAATGCTGTTATTTTCATTCTTTTTGCTTTAACTAAGAATATGTAAAAATCTTTTCACATGTGCAAATATAAGATAAATCCATCACAGTGAGATTGACAATACTCACTGATCTGTAAATGCTAATGCAGTTTTTAGAGTAGTTCAGACTGCCATACCTCCTTAATCTGTGTAAATTGCTAAAAGTGGGTAGTAAGTCTGTTGTACCCATCCTAGATGCCAAATCCTTGAGAAAGAGGGTGGTTTCCCTTTCCTATTCTGTGTGTTAACTTTCGACATTTTGTAAGCCCTGGCCAACTGCTAAATGCAATGCTGGGCCTTCAGGTTTCTCCTGTCTCTTCTGGTCTATGAAAGTCACCCACCCCTTACCAAGCAGTCTTTACCTGTGAGGGCATGCTTATCTTATATGATGAGTAGAACTACTAGTCATTGATAAAAAGACATTTGCAAGTGGTTCTTAAAACTATGTACACTTGGGATACAAGAAGGAAGAGAATCACTGTCCCTGGTTTGTCTATTGATTGTATAATAATGTGTTTCACAGAGGGAATGCACAGAGTAATGTTATACTTTATTCAGGGTCATGCATATATGTAGCAATGAGAAAGTTGTCACAAGCCTGGGTGATGGCAGAATTTGTATCTTGCTGTGATTAGCAGTCCATTTTGTCACTTAACTATTCCTGATTAAAAACAAAACAAACAAACCAAACCAAACC